TTCTCTGTCGTCGGGGACCGTGACATTTGTAAGCATGCATGTCTCGACTTGAGTCGCATCGAATGGTAGGCACGCTATCGGTGCTATCGGTCATGATCGCTAACCGACTGAAACTTCGCAATCATGAGCTTCGCGGAGTTCTGCATCATTTGAAAACAGGGACGTGGATTTGACGATGTCGACGTCTAGATCGACGGTGTTCAAAAAAGCTCGATGAGCTCGGGGATTGGCTTTCTGCATCGAATAAAACAGGCGTTCGCTGCGCTGAGCGCAAGCAATATGTTTGCTCTGCGCGCGATTCGTCTCGGCAAAGATGCTCTCCCCCTCGTGGAAGCAGCGTCCGAAAAAGAAAACGAAAGGCATTGCACGACCATGCGTGCATGCATGCATGCATGTATGCACGCATGCATGCTTCTTTGGACGTACATACACATACGCTGAAATTGATGGGCAACCGTTTCGTTTGGTTTCGTAGGGAGAATATCGCCTTTGCAGAACATCTACGCAAGCCTCGGACTGCCAAACGAGAGAGAGTTGGAGCGAGGAAGAGTGTAATCAGTGGAGCATTTACTTCTCTCGCTGACCCCAATAGCCATTGGTCAAGCAGAATTTGAAGCGGTTCCCTCCACCTCTGCTCCGCCGACACGCTCAAGCTCAGTCCGTAGGCTCACCCACTCGTTTGCCTTCTTCCCATGCGTCAGACTATCGTTCCAGTGACATACATGCGCGCTCCATTGAAGCCTGAAACTATACTGCATACGATTCGGAAATTCAATTGTATGCGTTTCCTCTCGCTGCGCTACGTTCGACGCACGGCCCGAGAATCCATCATGGAGGGCCATTTCAGAACAATACTGAAGAAGGCAGCGTTGGTTTATCTTTGTACTCCTACATACAAATTTCCAGACCGAGAACGCAGAAGTCTCCGCTTACAGTGACGCATTGGGGTCGAGTCTTTATCTCGCTACCTCGTCTCCCGGCGTCTCTGCTCTCTCCCGCGTGATTTCCCCGTAATAATTTCTAGCGCCAATCTCGCTCGAAGTAAAATCGCAATCTGTGGCTGCCAGAAGATTGAAAGAAACCACTTCCCGACGCTGTGTGCTCCTGTAGTCTGTCTGAAACCCGCTGAATATTTCGGGTCTGTTTCGCAAAATATCCTCTAGTTTGCATTCAGGCCATGGAAACCACCACTTTCGCTGTCGCCCATTTGAGGCTTTTGTCGACCTACGTAATCGGGCGCAAACGTTCTTTGAAAGTACGGGCCGCCGGATCCCCCTGGAACGATTTTCTTTCGCCGTCTTCGCGCCTCGTCCGGATCGCTCGGTACGTGACCCGTGCGTTGCACATCCGCTCGACTATCGTGCGGCTACTTCGTATGTCCATTCATCACGTTATTTTCCTGTTGCCTACGGCTGTCGATCGGCGTTAACTGTGCCTGCCGGGGACGATCTATTATCGTCTCGGCTTTTTTACTTAGGCACGGACAATTCGTGGGGTGCTCGTCTCTGGGACGTAAGGAAAATTTGGAATCGTTTCTAGGGGAGAGCGACAGACAATGAGACAGCAGAGGGAAAATGAGTATTCGACGGAGCGTCATCTGGTTACATAGCTGCTTCCCCGAGAGGAGGCGCAAACGTTGAGCTAATTGAGTTTAGAATCGAGCTGAGTCCTCCCGAAGGAGTCTGAGAGGAACTTTTCATTTCTTCATCCGTCTCATTTCGCTAAGCTGGGAGTGGCGGTGGCTTCCAATTTCTCGGCATTCGGAGGACGTCGGGGAAGCGAGTTCGTCAAATACTGGTTCCGAGAGAGAATTAGAACCGATCGTTCCAAGATAATCCGATAAGAAGCTCACTCGGAGCCAGACCTTATACCTCTGGGGCTGTTCCAGAACCGCGGAGGGCTCTGGCGATGAGTTCGCTGCGGCTGCTGCTGCGTCTGGCCGATGTTCCGTACTTTCCATTTTTCGAGGGGGATATTCTTTCCTGGTTCCATCTCGAGCAGTATGCAACACACGCTCGCGAGTCTCCGGCCTGCACAGGAAACAAACGTCGGAGATGTTTTGAACTAGTCAGTCAGATGTCGAGTGAGGGCTGACGCCGAGGAAGGCTGCGATTCCTTGATCGTGTTCGGAATTCGAACTGTTATTCCGCTATCAGGGTCTCGCACGCGGCCGTACTGAAAGCGGCGACGCTGAGGAATCATCAAGGTTCGGGTTCGCCACCAGCGGAACCGGTGTGGAAACTGATTTTCGAATGTTGCTAAATCGGATTCACCTGGGGCTTCTGATTACGACATTTCCATAACCGTTTGCGGGTTCGCATTTCCCAGTTTCCATCGAAGCGTCGAGAGAGAATTCTCGAGCACCGAGACGGAGTCTCAGCCAAAACGAATCAATAATTAATAGGCATAGTCCTAGCTCCGAAGACTAGAATAATGAACTCGCGGACGCATACCCTCCAGGTTTGAGGAATCGACTCCCAGACGGGAATGAATGTTTCCGCGGCGGGTAAAATCGAAGACTGCCAATCGGAGTGCGGCTTGTCACCGCATTTACCCTCTTGCAGGCTCTCTCCTCAGCGAATACTTCTCTTACCAAAGCTGTGGTCGAGATGCTTAGCCATGAAAGCTGCGGGAAGTCTACACCGGAGCTTGGTGTCGATCTAACGGAGCGCCTGCTCGAAGCTCCTGACTGAGAGTGTGCATCATATTCGGCTTAATTCCACCAGCACGATCCGTGTCCTGCACAAGCAATCGTCTCGCTGGCAATAATACGAGCGAACATCTCCGTCAGCTTCGAGATTCCCTTGAATCGAGTCTTTTTTGTCATCAAAAACGTTAGGCTGCGAACGCTCTTCTGTGCCACGTGGAGGGGGGAGTCGGGAGTCTCGTCACTGCCGACCAATCGGCGGAGCATTCGTATGGTAGCTCACTCGGCTTCAAGGACCGTGTTGAAGCAGAGCTAGTACGTTCGCGCCGCGACATCGCGTCTGCGCAACAGGAAATAGAATCAGTGACGGGGACTGGGTCTGTCAGCGGGTCGGACTGACGTCACGTCACGTAGATAAATCAACGTACGCGACTATTCGGTGCAATAGCTCCTTCTTCATTCGAGCGAAGTCCGAAAATTATGCAGAGCTCAGTGACGGGACGCGAGACTGCAACGGCGACCAAAGAGAATCCATTCAGAGCCAACAGCGACCGACTGACCCTCGGCCTGTCTGACCAAGTTAGGAAGAGCGAAGAACACCGGGGCGCTATTCTCTCCGAGGCCGACGTGCAGGCCCCAAGACCGGAGCCTTTCTCTTATAACCTGCGAGTTTTTCTCTTCTATACTCCCATTTCGATCGATTGGCGAAAAGAGAAAATGTGAAGCCCCTGGACTTTCCAACCCGCGTGGACCTCTAGAAGCTGGAACCGAACGAATATTACGTTTCGAAATGAGGAATATAATGAATATACAGTAAAAGCTCGTTACAGCGACCCCCATTACAACGAATTTCTCGGTACAACGAACAAGGAATTTCTCCTCCTTTGGCCAGCTCGCCATAGGGATAGTGATGAGCGGCATTCGTTACAGCGAAAACTCGGTACAACGAACCAGTTTCGTCGGTCCCTTCGTGTTCGTAGTAACGAGCTTTTACTGTATTGTTTCTTTTACCGGGACCCGGGATCCTTTCTCCCCGAATCTTCGACGTAGCGTAGAATCGGACCAACCGTTTCGAAATAAGATAATTAGGGAGGCACAGACAATAGGCGCTCGGGGGTACTGATCTCCAGGATCGATAACAACTGAAGAACTCAGATCCTCGGTGCGTGAAGCTTACGCTCTCGTGAGAGCCCGGAGTGAATTTTAATGCTTGCGGGGAACGCGGACGTAGGGTCTGGGTTCCTTGTCACGACCCTTGAGGCTGGCCCTGCAGTCGTGTTCACCTGTCGCCGGTAATAAAAGCCTCTATTTGTCTTTCGCCGTGGTTCGAGCTCGCTCCAGAATTCAGTATCGAGCCGTACACAAAAACCCGACGAAGGACGACGTGTTCGCGGCTCGATAGGGATTAGTTAAGCAGCACGGGCTCTCCGTTTGGGTGGGCATCGGTTTTGGCTTGATTCCCCCTTTCAAATCGTTCGCTACGGGCGTTCGAATAGTCGGATGTTTAACTTCTCTGAATTGGATGGACGACTTGTGCCTGTCGCAGGGCACAGGATATTGGAGCGCCGATGTCACGCGCCAGGACTCACTTCAACTTGTCAACAAGTCCTGACTGAGCTGAGTACGCGAGGTCCGTAGCGGATTTTCGCTAGCTCTCTAAAGCATGCCATGTAGACTTTGACGCAGAGAACATCTCATCGTCGACCCACGACTGCACTCTTGTTCGAGGAAGGTACGAACGCGTGTATCTACCGACGAAGTACCACGGTCTGACATCGGCATAGCGGGCGTCAACAAGTGAAGGGGAGAGCCGCGGCGTCTACTACAAGATCTCCACCGCCTCAGAAATGCAATGCAAATGGTCCTCGCGTCCCATTTTTCTCGTTCATCTATGGCTCCTGTGGAAGCTCCGGGACCCCTGAGAGACTGAGGAGAGATGCTGACATCGTCTGTAAGCGAGTCTGACTCCGAGTCGCAAAGCAAATTCCGTCCATGCCCTGGGAGTCCTCACTCCGACTCTCAGTTGCAGGAAGAGTAGCAGAGAGCTCCCGAAGGCCGTCTGTATCTCGACTAACTAAGACTTGCGGCTCTAGAGCAGAAGTCTCTGTGCTTGCCAATGAAGTCGAGTGCGACGTACAGCCGCTCAGAGCGAGGTCGGGAAAAAATTATCAGGTGGAAGGAATCCGGGAGGCTCGTGCAGTCTTATCGAATCCATTCCAGTTCCAGAGAGTCGTCGACTGTTAGTTAGGGCAAACAGCAGCATTCGAAGAGCGGGGCGCAGCGCTTTTTGTGCAAATTCACGGCGAGCTCAGTCCGCAGATCTCTGCGAGGCGTCCTGAATCGTCCTACGGAAATGACGGTACCGGGCAGAAAGTGCAGTCGAGCTCCTGAACGACTCGGATGATATTTCGTGAGCGAGTCGACTGCCAGATCAACGTCATCGACGCGGGACGAGCATCTTTTGGCTACCGCACGGGCGGGTTCAGCTTGCTGACTCCGGACTATGGGTCTAGTGAATATTTTGCATAGCCTGCCCGGCTGGCCGATCGAGGCGAGGTCATCCGCAAGCTAACCAGGCGCCTGTTCGGTGTCTGAAAGCCTCGAGTTATTCATTGCTGACTTCACAGGTAGCTTGCCACATCTATGCCCGAAAGCGCCCCGGGGTGCAATAGATTAGCCCATGATTCGCGTCCCGGCGTAGATGCAGCTTGCTTAAATTGGTCACTTTACCGAAGAAAGGATGAACAATTGATCGTTGGCGACGAGCGTCAACGAGGCTTTGAGCGTTTTCCCCGAGGATATGTGATTCGACATGTGAATGCTTCCTGCGGCCGGCGAGCACTCAATGGAAAACAGCTCGCGCTGCTCGGCCTCTTACGGGGCCGATGATGATCTTCACGTGACGGTGTTCCCGCCTCGAGTTCTGAGCTCCGAGGCGGGGATGAATAAACGGCGGTTTGCATACTCTTCACTGCACTGTCCCCCGACGAAGAATTCTCCTCTATTCCCCCGGCCCCGGTAGAAGACGCTACCGCGCAGTGGTATGCGCGAACGTACGTAGGTCTCGGGCACGAAGTCTATTGCGAGGTAGGCTCCGGTCGTTTCGAGAACTGCCGAATCACTACTACGGGAGAACGGGCGACGAGAATGAGCGCATTTGAGCCATCTGTAGAAGCGATCCCGGGATTAGGAGCTTTGCGGTCATGCGAATGCACACAACGACCCCGGAAACGGGCAATGAAACTGTCACGACTCTAACATTTCATCCTCTTTCCAGGAGGCTGCGGGCGGAGCTGGCCGTCTGGGCCCCGAGTCTCAGAGGGTCATCCACTCTGGAGTGACTCCGCTTATGCTCTCTTGTCAAAACGCGAATGAACTCGAGGTCAAGCCCATTCTTCAGAGGAAGGTACTTCAAACTTTCCCAAACGTTACTTCTTCCTAACGACTCGCTGCCATGTCTCTATTGGATCGTTCCATCCCAGGCCGAATTCTCGAGCACGATGATTGATGCACGGTTATGAACAGTTGATCCAGCGAGCGTGTGAATGCACATATGAAGACTTATCGACGATGGGAGTTGAGCGAGCAAGCATCAATCAACTTTCATCAAGAGTATTATTTCTGATGAACGGTCCGAGATGATTTGTGGATCTGTTCGGCCCTCGATCCGGGAAATGCGGAAACGATGATGCCGTTAGCGAGTGCCCCAACGATCTCACGCGAGGAGGCAACTCCGGAGCCGTCAATGGCGCGGGGCGAGCGAGAATAGACGCCGCGTAGTTTCGAGTCGTCGATTCCGATTCTGCTCGGCCGCGTCGGGCCGCTGCCCTTCTCCGCTCGTGAACGTTCGACTTGAAACCGTGTTCCCGGGGAATAACTCTCGACCGAAATCCTTTTGCAGCCTGAAGCTGTGACTGTCCGGGATCGCACGGGGAAAACAGCGCTGCACTACTGCGCGGAAAATCTATCAACGGCCTGCGCGGATCTTCTCCTCCAGTTTAACCCAGGTAATGGATATGCCAGCGACCGATGAGATCCGATGGGAAACTTTCCGTCCGGGAGCTCGGAGTACCTACTCAATTTTCTTCTGCTAGGTTTGTTGAACGTTCAAGACGAGGACGGATACACTGCACTGCACTTCGCTGTCATCAGCGGAAATCGTACCATGACCATGTATCTCATTGACAAAGGTGGGTCCGAGAGCTTTCCGGAAATCGATCGACCTGTGAAAGTCACTTCCGAAAACTCTAATCCACATGTCTCGACGGGGAAGCAGCGGGACAGGGGAAGCGCTGGACGAGGAGAAAACGGACGAGGATGTTGATCGAGATCCTTCTTTCCATCATTCAGGTGCTGACATCAACTGCGTTGATAACGAACGGCACACATGCGTCCACTGGGCCACAGGTGTGTTTAAGGCGGGCGAGCCCCAGTGCGAAACAAAGATAGCAGCCAACGAACTCATTAAAAGATAGACTACGTGTGCCTAGCGGATGGGAGATGTTTTATCTACGCTCTCCTGCGGATACAATCACAGCTCGCGAAATTTCGCGCGTGCGGGTCCTGACCCCGAGAGAAAATCTTCATCTCGAGTTCCCGTCTCTGGAGAATATTTCGTACCCACGCGAAATTCCGTGGATGAGCCAAGTCGTCTGCGGGATGAAATTTATAAAGGTCGCTTGTTTTTCTCTCTCCGGTCAGTTTGCGGCGAGTTGGACCTCCTCTCGATGCTCGTCGATTTAGGCGCAGATCCTTCCACGGCGGACGTCGAATGGCGCGCATCCGTTGCATTACGCTGCCCAAATGTGCGCACCGAATTCCGAAATGGGCAACGACGTCGCCACTGCGTTGCACGTTCTCCGGAAACTCATCGCGTTCGGTAAGGAGTCGAGCGGAAAGAACAATAAACGGCCGAAGGAAAATTCCCTGCAATCATTTCCAAGTTCTCCGCATATACATACATACGAGAACGGCCAACGATGCCGTTCAATTGCCGCGTCGATTGCGGCAGCGACGACGATCGACTGTCGTTCCCATCAATTTGCATCGTTGCCCCACTTGCTGGTAGACCCTTGTGGCCCGTACTCATCGCTCTGACGCCGCGTCGCGCCGATTCAAACGTTCTCCGGAGCGGCACCGATTGCCGACCGACAGATAAGTGATTCCGTTCGACCGTTATCCAGGCGTCAGCGTTCATGCCGAAGATCAGGACGGCAGACAGGCGTTGCTTTGGGCCGCGTCCGGCGAAACGTTGCCCTCGAAGACCTACTGTGCCACAGCGTCCAGCGACGCCATTTTAGAACTTGTCAACGCCGGCGCGGACGTACACGCGGCAGATAAAGACGGTCTGACCGGTGAGCTGACGCTTTGTTTGAGTCTTCCTTTTCTGCCGGGTCATGCAGGGATGGGGCTTTTTGATGATTTTTTCATGAAGTTTCCGCTCACGGTTCGATGCTGATTACAGCGCTCCATTGTGCCGCGAGCCGAGGACAAGCCGAATGCGTCGAGACATTGTTATCGCTGTGCGGGGCGTCCGTAGATGTTGTCGATCTAAACGGTTGTTCGCCGTTGTTCTATTCAGTGAGTCTGGGACACGCAGACTGCACGGCACTCTTGTTGAAGCACGGGGCTCAACCGAACCTCCAGGATCATAAAGGACGAACGTAAGCACCGCCGCGCCGCTTTCAGCCAGCGACGGCGAAAAGAGGAGACCTGGCACTTAATATGGTTCAATCGCAGGGCATCCCATTGTGGAGCTTCGAAAGGACAACTCGAAACGCTGAAAATTCTATTCCACAACGGAGCGAATCTCTGGGTGCGTAACGCCAAAGGAGACATGCCCCTCCACGACGCGGTGTATTCAGGTGGGTTTCGAACCTTCGGTTTCACGGGGAGCTGCGTCTCAAAGCGAATCGTTTAGCGTTTTTTCCGCCCTCGGAGCGCAGCTCGGAACTCTCCGGAAAAAGAGCCCCGGCGGCGTCCTCCCAGGCAGCGAATGCGATCGGTGCTCATGTTGCGTTCGGGGATCGATGCCGAAAGAGGAATGTTCCGTTGACGAGAGAGACCCATACTGTATTTACCGTGTCATCGCGGCACGACGTCGTGACATTGACCCGTGTCCAAACGAGGATAAAATGCCAGCGGCAAATTGCAGGGAGACGCGAACTGGTCCGTTGGATGTTGGAACATCAAGCTTCGTCCGTCAACGCAACGAACAAAAGCGGAAAAACCGCCTTGCACATCGCCGCGCTCTCCGACAGTATCGAAATGTGCAAAGTTCTCATGGACTTCGGAGCGACCGTTAACCCTGTGATGCGAACTAACAAGGTTAGTTTCGGGCGGGCGAGCGAGCGAACGGCTGGGCGGGCGTCCTGTTCAGAAAATAATCGCCGTCAAAGCTTTCCCGAGAGACGGCGACCTCTCCCGAGCCGCTAACCTAACGGTCTGTCGCTAGCCCTTCTATCTATTCCAGAGCGTACTGATGACCCCTCTGGATGCAGCTCTCTCGAAAGGCAACTCCGCAGTCGCGAAATATCTTGTGCTGCACGGCGCGCTCCCCTTTTCGAAAATCACGGATGTCCATGATGTTGAAAGCTGGCTCCAACACAAGTGCGTATACAACTACTGCGCAATCCAGAATCGAGTGAACTTATGTTAAGCGACGTATGGGTTTTTGGAAGTGTACCAAGTGTAAACACGGGATACTCTCGTCGGGATAGGGTCGGAGGCCCGATAGGGTTCCCAAGGACGAGTGACGACGACGGCGGCAGCAGGCGGCGAGTGCGGCTGCGGCGGCTTTATAAATACCGGTCGCGCGTGTACGGACTTCTTTTCATCCCATTCGGACGGTTCCCCCTCATGGGGCAGGAAGAGAACGAGCGCTCGGGGACGGGCGAGCTTGGGAAGGAATAACCGATCCGGTTGTACAGGCGGCTGCATTCACCTGGCGTGCGCTGTTTTCCGGAATCAATTCCCATTGTTGATTGTCGAACCTCGAGCGAGTCTTCCGATTCCGGAACTCGATGGAGCATCTGTCTCGAACGTCCGTCCGAGTCCACGGGCCCGACAGAGCTGCTGAACGCTTCGGAAGAGAATATGGCTGACCCTCGGATTATCAGCAAATCCCCGGATCGATTCGAGCGACTCCGTCGTCTAGCGTGAGCCGGGTTGAGCTGCGTTTGCGACCGAGGGATTCATTGGAGCGCGGGTCAAGAGAGATTCCCTGCACGAGACGGGACTGCCGCAAGATTGAATTCGCGGATCATCATCGCTCGATTCTCTCTCTTCTCAAGCCCCCCCTCCGTTGGCTGCTTTATCAGTTACGTCGCCGCGTGTCTCAACGATAGGAGCCTCGGTGACAACGTCGACGGCGTCGACGGTCGAGGTTGGCTCCCGAGGCGCTGCGAAGGCGGCTCGCTCGCCGGGTGCCTGGATCGCTGCTGAGCTGTCTAGTGGCAACGACACAGCAGATGTCCAAGCCCACCTTATTGGTCCCTGGAGCGGAATTTGCGTCGAACTTCTTTGCTTACGTGGTCTGCTTGTCTACTTTTTCGGTACCATCTTCAGCTTCATCCAGTCCGACCCCGATGAGAGCGTCGACAGAGACACCGTTGACAAACTAAGCTGCAGAACCCGTCGAACAGGTCTTAGAACGATGGAGGAACGTGCGGCCAAATCAATGGATGCTTCGTTAGCTCACACGGATTCCGGCTACTATGACACGTCCAAGAGCCAAGATCCGAACGTAACCAACGTCCAGGTAACTCCGAAGGAGGAGAGCTCCGCAATTCTGAAAGGAAATCCCCTTCCAGTCGGGGCTTCCTCGATCCGTGGACGGCGGACGTTCCTGGCCAGAGTTAATAAGTTCCAATATAACCTATTCACCAGGTTCTGCTGAACTCGCCGCAAATTCCTCGGAAAGATCAAGTTCTCGTCTCGAAAACCGTGCAAGACGGCACCCGGAGTATTATTACCAACGTCTACTTGGGAAACTTGGGGCTCGCTCATCTGGAAGGGGAAACGGATCAAATCTCCGTGGACCCGTCAAAGAGGTGAGTCCTACGGTGGATTCCCGCTGGCTAACAAGTCCCGGATCCCTGATATTCCTCGATGGTATTGTGATTCTGCGGTCCTCCGCAACGCTCCTGATCCTTCGCAGAGGAATAACCTCGAGTTCCATACGTCTATCATTCCGCGTTCGCCCACAGAGCTACCGGTCCCCTTCAATCAGATTAATATCGTAATTCTTCTTTCGCGTAGCCACGTGGTCAGGGACGAGAACGAAAACGTGCTCATTGGTCAGCGGGGCTACAGCGAAATAATTCTCGACAAATCTCAGGAAATAAGTGCCAGCGAAAACCTCAAAGTCGATCACGAGCGGAATATCATCAGGAAAATGTCTTCAGCCGAAACTTTGAACGTGGCCGACGAGGTAATTACTTCCATTCGGGATTCGCGATCGCCGAGGCTTGCGGAATATCAGTTCCGACCGACTAAAGAGCCACCGATCATTTTCAAGAACTACAGGGTCGAAGGCGACAATGAAGTCGACGAAGGTAGCGCATACGAGGAGAATTCATTGAAAGGTCCCCCGGCCGAAAAGATGCAGCTGGGTGGCGATTTGGATAAAAATACACCACCTCGGGCGACATCCTCGCCGAAAAGCACTCCAGCGGTCTTCACCACGCTGCTCCTCACGGGAGCGGTCTCAATATCTGAAGAGATTGGAGGAGACATCACCGAGCTTCGCGACTCGAACACAAGTCCCATAGCTTGGAACGCACCTCGGAGTGATCAAACGGTGAGCAACACGGCTGTTTCGACTCATAGAAAAGGCATCTCTCGCAAAGTGAATGAATCCGGTTTCTCGGTGAATGCATGGAAGAATCAGCGAGCGATAATTTGACGATCGGTGCTACATACATATATCAGTTACTGGAACTCATAGAATGGAAGCTTTCCCACGCCATACGAAAATATGCCTCCAGGGTGAACAGGTCGCCGTAACCGGAGACGCCGTATCGTCACCCACATACGCTAAATGTGAATCTGCGGGAGTCCAAACCCAGGGTCAGAGTCAGAAGGACGCCCAATGCAGTCCCGTTCAGCAGAGTGTCAAAGTGGACGGAGAAGCTATGACAGACCTAACGATGGAATCTATCAAAACGCCCGACGCTAGGAGGTGAGCGTCTTTCGGAATCTATGTCTTAGGTCCGCATGGCGGACGCAGCTAATGCGCGACGGGCACTGGCCGGCGCGAGCCCGCATCGCATGGTTAGGCGCAGTCCCGCATGACGGGGAAGGAGCTTCGCACTCACTTCGAAACAGATAGCAGATTAGACCACGCTTCAGCCACACCCGTCCTCACGGTCATGTCAATGATAGCTCCGATGAGCACCAATATTCGCAGTGACAGAGTTTCGCCATTTTTAGCTCACGACGCTCGTCGCTCCCGAGAGCAGATTCCCCCGACGGGAGGCGAGCCTCGGACAAAGTGGATCGTTCAACGAGTCCTATCCGGCGGGCGGCGTTGCCAACTACGGAAATGGCAAAAGACTCGAGTAACGTCGTGTCGGAAAATGCAGAGTGCGCTGCCTCCCACCACAGAGAGGCTGAGGCGGTGGCTGCTGAGAGCCGGAGCTCAAGCTCTGTGGACCTCGAACTCATAGGAGAACGAGGTCACAGCGAGGCTTGTTCACCGACAGAGCAGCCAATCCCTGACATTACGTCGGCGGTCACCGAGCAAGTAGTCCTCTCGAGCATCGAGAAGCAGCTCATTGTAAGTTCCATCCTGCCATTCTCTCGCTCGACGCCATGGGGAGATCAATGTTTAAGGCTCGTTCGTGAGATATTTGGAGGTCGTTCGCGGAGTGTAAAATTTTCGATCGGCAACGCGGGGTCCTAGCAGAATTATTCCCCGTCGAGTCTGATCGGGATTCAAGGCCAGGCCCGGGACGTCCCGAGCTTTGCCGTCGGCTTGTCGCGACTGAAAATTATAACCGAAGTTCGGGACGCTCGAGAGATGGTCAACGGGCCCATGCAGCTGCTGCTAAGTGCTCCAATCAGCCCGATCAGAGTGTCGACTCGTTTATTCCGTTAGATCAGTTTAGTGAGCTCGGAAGCTCTCGAGTGCTCTGGAACGAGAATGCCATCCGTCGTTTTGTTTCGCAGAGGACAGAGGCCAATTTGGAGAGTCCCGAGAGCAAGGCACGGACAGCTCAAGCGAATCATCGGACTGCGGAGGCGGTTGGCGAGCCGGTTTCTGTTGGCGCCGCGGCCACGGCTCTGCCGCCCACAGCTGGAGGGTGGGTTCTAATCTAATTCATGACGGCGAGCGGCAAGACCGTAGCGTTGCAAATTCAACTCTCGTCGTTTCGGAGCTATTTAACACCGAGCTCTGTGTTGTGGGACTCGAGTCTATTCTAGCGCTCGTTTCGACTCTTTTCACGTCGCCTTTCTCCCGCAGGACGCACCAGGATGACACCGACTTGACGCGGCCGCGTAAAGTCTTCCGAAAGATCCATGATCTGGAATCGCTGGCAGCTCGACAACCGCAGAACGAAGACGTCATCAAGACCGTCGGCGACAGCATTCGACGGTGAGTTCGGGTCCGACGGAGGCGAGCGACGTATTGTTCTTCGTATCAGACAGCTCTCGGGAAAAACTTTCGGCGCAAACTTTCGAGATGGGTTCTCCTCAAACTTCAGAGCGCGGTTCCTTCAAGATGAATAGGCAAACATTTCGATGCGAGCGCCAACATCGCCGCGGAACCGAGAAAATTGAATTCAGAAATCAAATTATCGCAGCGCCCTTATCGAAAATGCTGGAAGCATCGACTCAGCTCGAGCACCGGCTGAATCCGTGTGCGAACAAGTTGAGGAGAGTCCGGGCACAGGGATCGATTCTGATAAAATGTCGTCGATGATTTTCCTATTTCCTGTCTGTGTGGCCGGCTCGTCTCCATGCCCCATCCCCGGCGGGCGGGGAGCCAGTCGGCCGGCCTGCCGGCCACATCCGTCTCGATGCCCTACTCCGTATCATTCCGGTCCGAGGGCCTTCCTCCGGCCCATTCCGCCCTGATTCCTGTCCAGGCTTATTATTAATATCCATCGGATATAGAACGGTCGGTCGGTTGGTCGTAGAGCAGTTCTTTGGTTCGCCGTTCTCATATCGATGAAACACGGACACCCACAACACAATATGAATCGCCGTTGCAGGTATCGTCTGGAACATAAGCTGTTCAGTGAGCTGCAAGAGCTGAAACGGAACCAGATCCGCTCGAATCAAACGAACGAGAACGTCCTCGTGAAGCGAATGGTCGATCATTTCCGGCACGAGGTCTTGGCGCCTGGAATGAGGGACTACACCGGGTCGTACACGTTCCGCGAATTCGAGAAATACCTTTACGGTCAATTGCGGGACGTGTCGGCTGCGAACGACGACTATTCGTCGGCGCCCTCGAGTAGCGTCTCCCCCATGGACCCGGCGTTCGGAAGGAGTCAGGCTTCCTCGAGCGGGCCGTCATCGTTCCAAACTGTTACATTGCCCTCCGTACATCGGCCAGCTGTAACACCGCAAAGATCGCCGTCGCCGCCACCGAAACAGACCGCGTTCGGGAGTTCGAGAAAAATAAAACCAGCCGAGAAGAGAATCCTCGAAGAAACACCGATTTCCGCGCAAGCGGTGAGCGCCACTCAGAAAAGAATTCTCCCTCGGATCGGCCAGTACCAGGATGACGCCACATCGCGCGCTACCGCAGCCGCACCTCTGGAATCGTCGAAGATGGTTGCAGACAATCGTTCGAGGAGATCGTTGGGCCTCAAGCCTCCGAGCAAACCGACTCTGCCTCGATATAGATCCTCTTCGGTCGGCAAACCGGATGAAATCGATGCCGTCGAGACGAAAACTTCTCCCGAGGAAGCTGGGGACAATAAGACGAACATTAAGGAAGCTTCTCTCGCTGCCACAAAAACTGCCAAAGGGACTGAATATGAGAAACAGGGAGCTCTCCGGTCTCAAAAGATAACACTCGGCAAGAGAACACAGCTGCAGTCGAGCAAACCTCCGTCTGCGAACGCAGCTGCGACTGCATCGAAAGGTCCGGATGCTTGATCGCAACCCTCGGGACTCGGGAGCCATTCTGCTGCTCCTGAGCCGCACGAATGGAATGCACAGTTCGGACATGAATACAATATTCGATAATTCCTGAGACGCACCAACAACCGACGGATGCTCGAGCGCAATTTTCGCTGCTTGTTTTCAGATGGCGGTCCTGACGGCGATCCTCGGGAAGCAAAAGCTGAAATTGGGGCAAGAACGAAGCGTACAGAACTCCCCACTCGGAAAACCCGGAGTCTGAGCAGGAAACGTCCCGGATCCGAGAGAGATGTCGAAAAGGATGAGCCAAAATCGAAAAGCGAAGAACGCAAGCCGTTCTCATACCTCCGGAAAAACGGGGGCAAACAAAGTTATAGCAAAATCGGCGAGGAGTATAAACAACCGCCTCTCCGCAAGTCGAAAGATTCGAGGTAGAGCAAGTACTAACTATTCTGGAATTTCGGGCTTGAATGGAGTCTAACGATAGGCTTCTTCCGTCGCTATTTTATTCCCGGAAAATTCTAGAGACTCCCAGAATCATGCACCGGTCATATTTTGAAGGGAAAAGCGTCATTTTTTCCCTTGCACCCTCTCTCAGTCGGGTTCCAGCGACGTCGCTTTCGGGATCGTGGCACAGTGTTTTTCTCCATTCAATCATCTAGCTCTCGTGGATTTCTCTTCCTTCCTAGAAGGTCCAATCTCTACAATTCTCTGTCTCTCCTCCCGATTCGAGGATGAATGATTTCGCAATTATTTCAGTCACGCCTCCGGCTCGAAGCCTTCTTCCGAGGCAGCGTCATCGGCTACAGATTCAGACGCGAACGCTCACGGTAAGCGGAAGAGCCTTTCTCCTCAACCTTTCGTTCTCGGCCCCGGTCGATTCGAAGCACCTCACCTCACTCGATGCACATGCTCCTGCTTATGATTTGATGGTTCTCTCTGTGCACGCAGCATCAGTGACCACGGCCGCGACAGTTTCCGCCAAGTCCTCGAAATCAAGGTCTGCCAAGGCTTCATCGAAAATCATTGCGGGGAGCGATGCAGCGAAATCGGCCATGTTTCCATATGTGGTCTCCGGCGACGAGGAGAGCTCCCAGCAATCTCCAACGATCGGCGGAGAGGGACAAACAGATGCAGCCGCTCAGAAGGACCCGAGAGAATGCCCAAAATCGCAACAAATCGAAGCCCACAGCAGAGTGACCAGCACAGCGGCATCGACAAGAGCCGCGGCGACGTCTTCAGAAGGGAGACCGGAAGCAGAGACGAAGCCGTGCTCGAAGCCTGCTGCTCGGAGTCAGCTCTCGAAAAAAATGACCGACTCGCAGAAAAAATCATCCGCTGTGACCGGCGGCCTCCGTCAGGAGCGAGAGGAGATCAAAGAAGTTCGCGTCGAGGAGCTCAACACGGCCAACACAACGTCCTCGACGGGGGTGGCGACCACTCCAGTCGAATCGACCCGGGAAGAGATTGTCACTGTCGAATTGAAGCGCCAAGGTCTCAAGGGACGAGAAGGTCTGTTTGCGGAAACGCGGCTCTCACCCACTCACATGACCGTGAATCATAAATCCCCCAACAAAGAAGCTTATCGAATTTATTTTCTCGCAACTTTCCCTGGAGTATCGAATCTCTCTTCTTCCCGGCATCAAGCGTCTCTGACAAGAGACGGATTGGATTCCCATCATGTTGTTGTTACATTCGCCACAAGACTACAAAGTGATGCATGTTGACTTTGCAGCGCACGGGGACGAACACGACGGTCTTCGAAATGTAAGCACTGAAACTGACGCACCGAATTCAACAGCGGCTTTTCTCAGCCGGAAATCACCGTTCCCATAGGCACTCTTCTGCTTATTATCATTATTAGGTACCTATGATCGGAGTAGTGTTCATATGTACATTGACAAGGATCGGCACCTCTCTGTTTGCATTCGATGTGTTCGGATGCCCAGCAGCCGATTCGGTCGAGCTTCAAGCCCACCTCCATCTCCGGAGCCACTCTCTCGCAAGTGCATATTTTCTCCACTCTCAGCACAGAGCAGTTCATTAAAGAGAAACCGAATCGCGAGCTCGGCTTACGGGGGCCAAGCGAGTCATATATTCATTGAGACTTCGGCTTACGTCAACACGACGGCGTTGCCAAAGCGTCTGTCATCCTCGCGGATTAGGCGAGGATTGCGGGCAGCAAATCGTAGACGGGATCGAGGTCCTCCGATGCATCGACCGAATCCGCCGCCATTAGCGCGGAGAACTAATTCCTCTCTGATTTAACGATTCGCCTATACGCAGGCAAATCTGAGGTCTCGTGAAGATCGGAACCCCGACGATGCGGACATCAAGAAGAAGGAGGTCGACGAAATCGCTACAAACCAAGAATCCTCGAGCCGAGGCGCTCAGCCCAAAGAAGCGACCACGGCATCCGCTCGGAAAAAAAGAGCACAATGGAACAAGAGCGGGGATCTTGCCGTGGTCCCGAAGGAAAGCGTCGAGGAGGCACCAGCTCCGAATCCCGGCGAGTCAATCCGCTCTGAGACTTCCAGATCATCAGCGAAAGTCGTCAGAGGAATTCTCGGTGAGTCGGAAAACGAGGCGACCGAGGTTGGCGGCGGTCGCGATGCGCTGGACATATGCGCGGAAGGGGAAGTCGAATGGAAATTTTTGAACACGAGCGCACAACATCGATATGAAGCCGTGGAGCCCGGCCTGGGAGATTAAAGTTTGTCCAAATCAGGTCAAGATCCCGCTGGGCTCCCCACGCCAGACGCTCTGAACTCCCACGCGAGCAATAACTCTTTGGCGATCTGTCTTTGACGGTGGCGCTGTTATTATTGTTGCTGTTCATGTCGACGCCGGTCGGTTTTGCCAAGAGATTCGACCGCGGAAAGTTCACCGCTTCGGAAAAATTCTATACCGGCGGCGGCGCGATCAAGCTCCCAGCTCTGTGTAGCACATAGCTTCACGTGGTGGATCGCAGAACAGTTTCGGCGGCGGCGGCTCCGTTCCGCTTCCATATTGTCGCTTCAGTGAATGGTCGCGAGATGAAGTCTGGTTCAGAGTTTGACATCATCATCATCATCATATCGTCCATTTGGGCGCAAAACAAGCCGAAGCGACGCGGAGGATGTTCTCTCAGAATGTCAATTGACATCCTTGAACACGATGATACACGATGACGGCTCTTTGATACATACAACTCCGCAGTTTCGGAGAAATCCATCTCGATTGCCGCGTACAGGGAACTCTCTCTCGCTACGCACTTACGCTGGAGCCGTCTCTGCCGCGCGCTCTTTTCAGAGAACTCCTATGGCAAACGAGTCAAGGGCTCCACGATGATGGCAATCATTTGGATAGCCATTCACGGCGTCGCTGCCGTCGCTGTTTCTCAGCCCGAGGATGGCGAACGTGCAAACAATACTTCGGAGATACATAAGAACAGTTATCCGCCTGAGCGCTACGCCGCCAGAGCGCCTTCCGTATGTTTTTTTTTTATTCATGATTGTTTTGCGATCGCAATCTCCTTTGGCGATCGAAGGCTTTGCGTCCCCCGAAAAGCCAGTCTTCAGCAGCCTTCTCTTCCTTCCCTTCCGGTCATGCCGTTCATGCATGTAATGAGGATTACCGTGCAGTTTGCAATTGCAGCGGGGTGACGTTGACGCTCGAGCCGGCGCGGCGACCTTGGGGTAGGGCGTCGCCTCCGAGCGAACTCGACACTGACAAACCAGGCGAAGCCTCCGATTCGTTTCCGCGAAGAGACTCCTGAAGGTACAAGAGTCTGTTCGTCGATCGAGATTCCGGTCTTGGAGAACTCCCATGATGAATAATTTTCCGCCTTCCGGCCTAAAGTTTTAGTCGCATTGTCGGAAGCGTGTCATTCGAGCGTCAGAAGGCCAACACGGCCATGCCGACAGCGGGTCGGCCCGCTCCATGAGCACGAAGAGCGTCGAGTCGTCTCTTCCCTACCGTACCATATCAAGGAGGAAAATATGATTTGTGGAATGATATTCTCTTCCATTAGGCGAGGATATCGATCCGGAAGACTTGGTAACACTGGAAATGATACCGAATGATGGTGGCGGCGGTGCGACCGCAATAAAACGGAAGGACTCGCTGGTGAGGACTATAAAGGTTCGCGACATAATCGAAGCGGCCGACAATGACGATCTGGTGAGTTCCGTGGCCTCTGTCGAGATCGAAGTCCACTCGTATGACATATGAGCGATTCTTTATTCACCGAATAGACCGACCGAACTCACCACCGATGGAGAGCTCGATGGAAAGTTTGTACGAACTCGATTACGATGCAGGTAATTCGACAATCGGAACTCAGGGCCACAAACGTCACGAGTCCGTCGTCGGCCTCTGCAGCATCCGATGAGGAAATGGTCGAGTTCGTTGTGCGACACGGGAGAGAGAAAAACATATTCTGGCTACCCGCCTCGAGGATCACCCAGGACAGAAAATGGCAGGTCACGTTCGTCGTGGCCAAAACCGGGCAGAGCGCGGAGGGTTCCGAGAAGCAGAACAATGGATAATTCCTTGTACTACGGCTGAGTTCGCTTCCGCACTCGTAGGGACTCTAAGTATCGCCGTTGAACGGCCCGGTCGCATCGAGGTTGCCTGCGGATGCTGCGGAGCTCAGCACCGCAGCGATAGATGGGCTTCTTCTCGGAGGGATTGAGTGCATGATGGACTCATGAGGAGCAAGTGGCGAACAATTGTTGTTCTTTGCTCAGGTGATACTAGCAAACGAGAGCCGAAGCGTGATGGCGTGAGATTACATAAGAGGTGCGAAATCTTCCAGAGCTCTCAGAGGTAAACGAGGAGGAAAAGGAAAGGAGGAGGAACGGGAGGAAAGCCAATATTGAAAGAGCCTAACGACCCCCATTGCCCATGACCTCCAGCGCTGTCTCCCTCGAGCCTCCGTGGGAGCTCCTGTGTTTAGCGGTCACAGGTCTCTTGGTCGGAGGGATCTGGTCGGGTATCTGGATCGAGCAAGACATTGCTCTCTTGTCTGACGGAGAGTTCCTGAGTATTGGATACGAGCTCCGTTTGTTCGCTCCAAGTCATCTCCGCTGTAGCGCGACCTTGTATTGTATAAGAGAAAGGCCATATGAGAGGAGGAGGTGTACACAACGGACAGTAGAGGGGCTTGATGGCGCACCGTCGTCGGACTCAGATATTACGGACCACTACTCCAACGACTACACACTGCCATCAGCAGTACTGCTGCTGCTAAGACAACAACAGCAGCAGCAACAACAACAGCAACGAGCAGAAATTAGTCACCTAGTCGCAGGGACATCGAAGTAAGAGACGCACAACATTCCGTCCAGTACAATCTCTCGACCCCTTGGTCCGGTATTCAAATACGGTCGCTCCTTTGTCGGTTCTCCTGTTATTTCCCATAGGGATTTTCCTCTCTCAGGGCTTCGAAGGATCTTCGTCTGACTCTGAACAATGGACGGGACGGCAGCATGTGTCAACTTGATTACAGACTCGTTTTTAGGATATTGGAGTCACTGCTCACATTGCAGTGGGTGTAGAACCTCGGTCGGCGAACATTTTTAAGTTTGTACCGAGTTTCGAGCGTTAAATACAGAGGCGGTCAGCTGGACGGCCGGCCCTTGCGCTCGTCACTGCCGGAGTACAGGCTCGGGCTGAGGCTCTCTTTCGTTCGATGATGTAACGTTGCTGCTTGAGAGAGGACAACCTGCCGACGACCCACGTCGGGACAATCCGTCCATTTGGGGAATCAATCAACGACGTTGGGAGATGCATTGTAACTACTCCTCTGACTCAATATGCTTGTGCTGGAGGCCGGGGTCCCGATGGATCGAATGTTAAATGGACGAGGAAGGCATAGTGAGAGAAGGAAAATATGAGGGTTCGCCGTCATCGCATTCGTTGCAGATACACCGCGACGGGAAGAGGTTTCTACTCGTACCGACGGTCAGATATGGATAGATACTATGTGAGTGCGGAGACCTGGGGAAAACTCACAAACCCCAAAGCGCGCAGAGGATCGACAGAGTTTACACTGCCCCAGATCAACCACAAGTTTTGAAATCCCCCTCCCTGGAACTGCAGCAGCTTATATCCCTCTTAGTTAGAATCCCAAGGATATTTTTTCGAGCACACGGATCGACCCCGATTCCAGGGAGCGAAGATTTGTCTCTGGTCGACAAGCTCCCTATGAATCACACTCCTTCCCCAAAGTTTTGACCGCGAACCTCGAATCTTTTCGAAAAATTCTGTAACACAGAATGTTGTCAACTGCCCCCGTGGACTCTGATTGGCTTCTGCCTTTAAAAGAGACGAGAAAAAAGGAGAAACTCATCCACACTGCCACAAGAGCGCACTCCATTCAGAAAACTTCCATTTCTTTTTGAACGACAAGGAGTGTTTTTTTTGGAAAAATGCCTCCAAAAACTGGCCACGATGAGAAGTAGATAACTGTAGCCGAACTGGAGAGGTGCGCGACTCTGAAGCGCGTAGGTTCCGCGTCGTAAAAGAGGTTCGCGTTCCTCCGATCCTAGACGTATCAAAGTCACAGCGTGGGAATTCTATTGAGCATACGCGGGATATACATACAATACATCTCTTATTGTTAGCTCACATATTTATGGGTGACGGGCGGTCCCGCTCCAATCATAAATCTCTATCGTATCGTTTCGTATTTCATGCCTGTAGCCCCGTCGACGGTCCTTTCCGGCGAAAATATCTTTTGTGGCTCGTCTTCCTCCTGATCTTCCGCTTAACTACAATACGCTCCGATATCTGTATGCCCGCCGCAATCGAGTTCCGGCGAAAACAATGTGTCAACCTATAACACGCGACCGCCAGAGCAGCCTAAACCGCATCAACAACAACGACAACAACGATGATGACAATGACAACAGCAACAACAACGGCCACCACAACGACAACAAAAAGAAAAACAAGTGTAGCGGCGACACGGCCGCGAAATCGAGGGGAACAAGAAGCTATGGACGCATAGCGGCTGAGCACGTACATGTAAGAACGGCACGTAACTGAGGTTTCGCAGTTGAGGAAAGTGGAAAAATATTTTCATGCGAGGTTTCGCTCATCTCCGTTCTATTCTCTAACCATTATTCTACGTCTCCTTCCATCGGTATCGTTCGTAAGTCATCCATGCTTCCGGTGTTTACAGCAGAGAAATTCGGCACATCTATCACTGGGCAGGAGCCGACTTGAGGGAAATGTCTTCCCCGCTGTTCGCTCCCTTGTGATTGCTCAGGTTGTTGTGGTGGATGGCGGAAACGTCGTCGGAGTAGCTGTTGTGATTGTCGGCCCAGCCTACGCGACGTTTGCGGAAGCTAGCTCCAGCGCTCTCGTCCTCGTCGTCGACGACGACGACTGCAGACATTTGAATCGAACAGCTGACAGAGATGACAAGTCTTCCCCCCCTCCCCGACGATGTCGTCGTCTGTCTCTTTTTCCCTTTCTGGCGAACTCCCGCATTCTCTCGGGTCTGTCGTTTTCCAAGATTGTTCCTGTGCGGGTTCGGTGTTGATGTTTATCTCTTCCTTCCTTCCCCCGCCCCTCCCGCCTTCGAGCGAATGCTCCGCTTCTGAAAGGAAAATGGAACAAAGCTAAAAATACCCATTCTAAATCTGTGCTCTGGCCGTGGTTTCGGGGGGACGAGGCGCTTTGACGAGGACGTCGATAGACGGCTGTGCGGACGGTCAGACAGACGGACAGTCAAACAGTCGAACGGGAGGGGCGCACAGCCCCGATTGGCTCTGAATGCGATTCGGTTGACATAGAGAACATGGTCACGGCACTCGCTCTGTGCTCTCTGCCAACTAAGTAATCATTCGCTCGCTCTCCTTCGCGCAATTAAGGCGGCTCTTGATTGCCTACCACTGTTTCGAAGCGGCGGCGGCGGCGACAACAACGGAGGCGGCAGCGGCGGCCGCCGTCCCGAGCAGCGCAATAATTCCGTCCGCCATGATACTTAAACGCACTCACAGGAGCACTCAAGCTCATAGACACGGAAGGAAACACCCGCAGAGTCGTAGACGTTCGCTTGGATAGTGGTAATGGCGACGATCGCAGGTGATTCGTGCTTGTAAATATGATTATTATCAAGTTTGTGCAGACACGCTCGTGCTTGAATAAACGTTGTATGTTACGATTACGATATACCATCAACTTGTTTTTATTTGTCGCCATTACGACTGAGTTGGCTCCCTCCGGTCAAAACAAGCAGCGATTATGCCTAATGGAAGTGATCGATGGCGATCTCCGGGAACTCTCGGCGTTCCGGCCCGAAGGTATCCCGACTCTACGAAGGCTCGCGTCGAACGTGACCGCCATTCAACGTCGCCGTCGTCATCGGCCATTTCTATTCTGAGGAATTTATCACTCGTATGACATTCCAGAAGTCACGAGTGAATCAAGGTCTGGTGGATTATTCAACAAGCCCTCATACAACACATAAGCCCCGGGTTCCGGAGCTGGAGATAGACAGCGCACCGACAGGTTCCCCATAAAAACACGCTCATGACAAGACAAGCAAAGAGACAGGAAGGCAACAAACAGGCTGGCTGGCTGGCGCGCAGAAAGGCTCCTGGTGGCGGATGTGGGCGGACGGGTGGTCGACGTGCAGGACAGTTGTACTGCTTAGAATTGCGTGGGACGGCCTGCCTGCCGGCGCTGAGTGCCGTCTTGTCGTCGACGACGACTCGTTCCTTTCGACGGCCGGCGGAGCAGCCCGTCCCGCTGCGATTGAGCCGCGAGCCTTTCTGCGGATCCACCTGCTCATTTATTCATTAGCTCCGAGAAAAAGCAACGGCAGGCTCAATCGATGGGCAATCGATGAAACATCGGATGGAATTCCACGAGGTTTCGATACAACCGACGGAATCATCGGAGTCGGGCTAACGAGAAAGACAGGACGATGCGATCGTACCTACGGGCGAATCGACGGGAAGACTCGCCAACTTTGTTTTTCCCTCAGCTCCCTTTATTCGTTCCTCTGCAAGTCTGCTCACAGCGCTCCAAGTTTTCCAAGGCTCGCGAAGACTACTCTCAACGCTCTGTCACTCGTGTGAATATTCATAGGCTCGCCTTGACATTTGTATACATGGAAAGTTTGTACAGAAAAAGAGAGGCATGTCAACGCTGTCTCGAATGGAAGGCAATACTCATTGATTGTGACATTCGATTTCGGATGCGAGGGCCGAGTCACACTGAAAGGAGATCATCGGTTGTGTACGCTTCGAGCGTCACAGTCCCTTGTAGGCCCGCGGTCTTCTTTAGACTCAGGGGGAGTTCCATCACTGTTTTAGATTGCTGGTTGGATGCCCCGGGCGCGAAGGATGCCCTTCCTATGCATGAATCCATGACGACACTGTGGTTCCAGACCTGTTCCGTAAATAACATCCAGTGAGTCACTCAGTCACAGACGAAAATGCACCACAACATCGAGAGCGAGGTCGGCACTCCTGAGGCTCTGCTTTCCCCCAGTCCCGTCTGGACCATCTCCTCGCGATAAGAGCCTTGAGGCTCTCCCAGATTGAAAACCAGGAGCAACGGCGACGGAGAACTCACCTGAACCCGGACCTCAGATGTCGGTTCTTTACGGTAGAGCAGCACCTCGAAATCCCACATAGGCGATGTTTCCTTGGAGGTCTGGGAACGCACCGAGGTTCCTTCGCATTGGACCACACAATACGGAGTCACTGGAAGAATTAGGAGACAGCGGGAATAGCGGATCGGCCCATTCAGTCAATGTTTTATTCACGCGACTGATGTTCTTGAGTCAATCCACGTTAGTCGGACGTACGGGAGAGAGGAGATTTACGGATGAGATCCGTGGCTTGAATCACCCTCACGTATGTCACCAGGATGGGGAGCTTTCTCGTTAGGAGCGTTTTCTGAGGTTGGTCCGAGATGAGTGGCCGCATGGTGAAGCTGGCCGGCTTGGAAACGACTCGAAAGAAGAAATTGTGCGTAGTTTCGGCTTCCAAGGTGCATACAACGATAACGTAACGACCTCTCGAGAGCTCCATTCGACAAATATGGTCACGGACATCCTTGAATTCCGAGCTGAACACGATGTCCCTCTGTCGATGCAGCCGGAATCGTCGATTGGATTCCACCTGCGAAAGGACGCTCGTCTCGTTTTCACTCCAGGATCCTATCCTTACTCTACATCGTCTTGGAACGGTTGAGTAGAGCCGGCAACTTCGCTTCAGAGGAATTTCATCTCAGCCTTGCAGAGCAATGACGGATAGAAGGGACCAGACAACTTTCGCTTCGCAGGCTCGGGGCTGTCTTTGAATAGAACTGCTTTGATGTCTCTTTCGCTCATGAGAGGAAACGATTCCAGACCTATAGACGACCCGAGTCAAGAGCATCCGAATCTGCGGATCCGAAATTGAACCGTACCTTCATGGCTCGGAAGCCCGCGGGTTTGAAAGGCCTTCTCTGCATGATGTATGCGAGAAGTTCCGCTCGATCGCTCGTCACCTGAAATTTGTGAAGATCATGAGCCCTCTCGGCTCCCACCCTGTTTCCAGCATTCGACAGCATGTACTTCCGTGAAATATCTAGGATCATGACGCATTTCGGTTCCATCACGCCAGTCGGCGATCGACTCGCAAAAGCTGAACCGTGTTCGCTTACATCGAGGAGAAACTGTGGGTTCCTCAAGAAGCTTTCAGTCGCTGAGCCGCCCGCTCGGTCATGTGGAGCGCCTTCGGAGCCTATGGTCCACTCCCCGCTGAAAGCAATTTCCGTCAGACCGTCGCCGAGGCCCAGCAGTCTGACGTGGCGAGTGAGACGACAAATCACGAAATGGTTGAAATATTTCAGTAGATCGTCGTAGGTGACCCTGCAATGTTCCAGGAGGTATAGGGGCGACGTCCTCTCAATCCGAATCTGAAGCCTCTTCTGCCTAATTTCCCGTGAAGTGTCCTTACTGGCTCGAACTAACGAGCCGGACGATCATCTCGACTGCAGTGAGTGGTGCTCGACCATTTGGCGACTTAAAAAGCAAGATTAGAGCGTTTTCATAACTGGAAGGCCGACAATGTTCACCTCGCAAGATATTATTCTCCTCCTGCTCCCAGGAACATTGTGCTACCTAATTGAAGACTATGCCCTCGCACACGGGCGGCCACTGCAGTTCGCGCGCAGCGTCGACCCCAATAACCTCCCGCAAAAGATATCACGCTGCGATGCCCTCCCTGGTTACGTGCTCGTCAGCTCGTTCACGTTTTACATGAAAAATGGCAGGTCGACAAGTCTTCCCTCTGAACAGTTGAGTTCAGTGACCGAGCCCCGAATAAGGCGGCCGCAGCTAGAAAATGCACCCGCTATTCATTCCACAACGAAACGAACGTACGCACGTGTGCGCCCCTGGGAAACTCGGACTGACACTCGAGATAGACACGTAGAATCGAAAAATCTCAGAAATTCCGGCGACCTCCTCTCCCGACTCATCGAGGAGGCGGGGAAGAGAATCCACTCACCAGAATTCAGCAGCCTGTTCGAGTTTGAGTCCCAATTTCGAGCGCTCGCTGTGGCTGAGCCGGGTCCATTCGACGGAACTGGAATACATCGTAAGCAACTTCTGCGTTGGATATACGTAGGAGGCAGCTCCCTTCTGGTCAGCAGCACTTTTTTGTAGACTCGAGCTAGAGCGACTCCGAACCGATCCGTGACTCTGCCGTTTCAACGAGCTGGCGAGGAGAATGAAACGTGCCGGGAAAAAGCGAACAGAAAACAAAAGTTGAACTCACCAAACAATCTACGGAACACAAAGTGTATTTATCGTATAGGCTAATCCCTATGGACGACCCAGAGGGAAAGCTCCGCGGTCCTCAGCCATCGCGGTAGTAGGAGTTATAATGAACAAACTCGGTCAGAAACAAGGTCTTATCTCGAATACGATGCTCGGCTGTGTAGACGGAGGTCGGACTCGGATCGAATCCAATAGAGCAGCCCCGAACCGGCACAGAGCATCGGCTGGGAAAATCAAACCGAAGCAGTAATGCTGCCGCTCCGCATGCAGATGAACCTTCTCGCTCGAGGATAGGCCCCTCTCGCTCAAAAACGACGACACGCTCACGGTTTTTTCGATAAACCCCAGGAGCTCGGGGACAGACCGGCATAGCCGGAGAAGAGGTCCGCGGTGCAGATGAGCGAAGCTAGCCCCTGAGATAAGCTCCCCCCCGTCGAGGAAGATGTCCGAATTCACGATTTCGGTTGCAGCCGGGGCTCTCTGGGTCATACCCAGATTTCAACGAACGTCGTGCGCGTGAGACCCTTGATGGGATGGGTTCGTCATATCAGGGAGCGGCAAAATACTGAGTGAGGGCTGCGATCCTCACCCCTTCCGGAGAATGACATTCAGCTCCGAAGCGTTCTATAAGAGGTCTCGTGTACTGCTCTTGAAAAATTGAGCAAATGAATGATCTAAACAAGGTAGGAGAGAACAAAGCAGCGAACTGTAAGCGGAAGCTGTCGGAAGGTCGTGCACGCGGCGGAGCTGGAATTTTCCGGTGGAGAATCTCAATTTTTGTGAATAAATGCGCCAAGCTCGATGGTTTGCTGCAGCGTCTCAGAGCACACTGAACCAGCACGGACGCCGACTCGACGTGAGCTCGAGGGAGACATTTAGCTGATATTCCGTACATCGGAGATCGTACATCAAGCGGATTTCTACTGAGCAATCGATACATAGGGGTCAGGCTCCACCAACTTTTGTCCGAACGGTCCTGTGTACTTGGAGTCGGCCCAAGGGTCCTGCAATCGGACCATCCGTAACTGCTGTCTTCCTCCGAATAGTGTTCGAATCGCTGAGGACGCCGATATGTCGATGCTGGTGAAGCCTGTCACCGTGTACGGCCGGTTCTTCAGAATCCCTGGCGATCAATCATCGCGTTAGCGTTATCGGTAGTCACGAAAGTCACTGAGCCTCCGGCCTCTCACGACGCCGACAGAATCGAATGAATCAGATCGCGGAGCCAATATTAGTAGGAACGTCTTTTCCAATTTCCTTTTCCAATTTTCCGCTCTCTACTCGTCTCTAATTTCCGCGTACGTTCCCTTCCGGGGGAGCTCATACAAAGAGAGGGCTCGTTATTCTCCGAGACTCACCGCACGGTAAACGTCCTTCACAAACGTCGTCTTCAGCAGATGAGCTTTGTTGATGAATCGCGCATATTGGCGCACCGTTTTTATGCGCTTCGGAGAGTCTCGAATGGAAATCGTCCCGACTCTGCGGCGTGAGCTCGGCGCCTTCGAATCCGAACGACTCGCTGATTCCTCCAGTGAAGTCCACCAAAGCGTCGGCGAGCGAATACGATTTGAGCGCTTCGTAAGAGCCGAGATATCTGAACGAGACGAAAAATTCATTTGCGCGGCTGTTGCGAAGCCCGAAACCAATTAGCCCTCAATAGATTCGGCTCGTTTTCCGACCGGCCGTGTGCTTAGATGAATCTCTTCTCTGTCAAACGCCTCTGCGTGAACCAACTCCCGCTGACTCAAGGATGCGTCGGGCGGTTGTCACAGATCTTACGACAGTGCGGCTCAAACAAGCGAATCGTCGAACAGTTCCCGGGAAGTTCTGAGCGGTTTGCGATCAAGTCTTTCCGGCGAAGTTTCGTCCTGTCTATTCGACGACAGCATTTTCTGATGATTCTGTCAACTCATTGTCTCAATCCCTCTGTCGTCGAGTTCGAGCTGTCAGCAACTCGCTGTCCTGGGTCGACGGCAACTCACTTAGCGTACGCCTTCTCCAACAGGATGGGCCAGAACTCGTCCTTGGTTCGAGATTTGCTGAAAAGCAGGATACCGGTATCCGGGTGACACGGCAGTCGATCATCGATGAGCACCTGCAACAGGAGTCATCGGATATTTTCTTGTCGGACCCCTAGCGTCAGAGCAATTCTCTGAGAAAACATCTTGCGGCGTGGATGATTTCAGGACGCAGAAGCTTCGCTTCGAATTACCTCTCGCCATTCTCCGAAATGATAGAAGAAAAATCGGAACAGACCACAATATGTGAATTTACTTCGCTTCTCAGTCTCCGGATGGACGACCAGCGGGTGCGCCGCAGCACTGGGTGCGACCTGAAATCAGGGGTCGATTTTGAGACGGATCGACGCGCGGAACCCCGTCGAAACTGAGAAATCGGCGATCTGCCGCGAGGCATATCGTTCGCAGCGTTGCGCAAACGAAAGACTATCTCACTTTGTTGAATAGGGATTTTTGGCGGGCCAGGGCGCTGACTGCCGCGATGAACCAAGAGTTTCCGGCGCAGCCTTCCGACACGTCGCTTGATGACAGTCCCTCGACAAAGAACTTCGGATCATCGGTCATTTCCTAAAGACATCGAACACGTTACGGACATTGGAGGCGATCGACAGGAACCGATTGATTTGACGCCGAACCCGCACTAACGGAGTTAAGTGATGTCAACTCACGAACGGTCGCCTCCATTTGACCTTGGATGGATCGAGTCCCAATTCCCGGATCCATTGGGCGTCGCCAGACGAAAGTGAAGATTCATCGGCTCGGAAATCAGGATCTTCCCAGAGAGCGCCGCTCTCGATGCAAGTCTTCCGCAGAGCATTGTAGTTGACCTGGGACGATCAGCTGTTGTTGTTCGATCGAGTTGTCTAGTCTTTTCCTCCGTTCGAATATTCGGGCTCGGACACGCGCTAATGTTCTCTGTTCACGCGGAAATATTCTCGTCGATCTCTCTCCGTCACTCACCTTTCTCGTGGGGGATTTTCGCCGCGGTCCATTGGAGCGATTGGGTCTCAAGCTGGCGATGGGTTGAAGACATCGCTGCTGGAAATCTGTAACACGGACGTCGGAGCAAATACCGCATCGAACCGGCAATTCCATTGTGGATAAGGTCACCAGGCTCTAAGCGTCGGCTTCCCGACACAGGGCCGGATGCCACTCGGGGGGAATCGCGAATTCGCGAAGTACATAGACGAGGAGCTGTGTCAACGTTTCCGCGCCCATGTATTAGGTCTCGGATCGATGAAGACTTTGTGGATCCTAATGAGAGCGGTGTTTCCTAGATCGTTTCTCTGAGGATGCCGCGGGCTATGACCCCGGCCGGACTCGTGAAACAGATCGCACTGCCCCGAGGCGGAGCGACCGAAAAAATAGCAGACGCCGGCCACCGAACCCCGAGGTGTCACTAGTGTTTTCAGGCTTCCGTTCTCTGTACAATGCACTCTACTCACGTACTACAAGCGGACTGATCCGCTAGGCGAACTATGTAGTGCAGAGGTGGCGCCCTCGTCGTGACCGGCCGTGCCATACCCAACAACTACCCAGCTGACCCCAAACCGCCGGACAGGGGACTCAGACAGGTCATTGTCCACTATCCTCAGTCCTCAGAAGCGAGACAATCGAATCTCGACGCGAAGCTATAATTTATCGTCCAAGTCATGGTCGCCGAGCAAAACGTGATAGTTCTCCCGAAGGGAGAAATGGCGAACTTTTCTACGGAAGAGCTCAGAATTCCCGTCCGAGGAAAAGTACGGACGACGACGTCCTACGGGATAAGTGAAAAACTGAGTGCAGGCCAAGCAAAACACCTTCGAAGTCACGTTTCATCGTCGCTGTGAACGGAGCGACAGAGAGAGTAGCAACAGGAGACATCTTGTTGTTCCAATTCCCGAAAGACTCTTATACGTGAGCTTTCTGCTGTGCGATTGAGGTCTACAGTGGACTGATTTGAAGCCTCCCACTCAGGGAGAGAGAGTCCCCGGATTTCCACACCTCAATTGAATCGACATGGACTCTTGATAAACAGACGGGTCGATCCCCTCCTCCGGATCTCTCTTGTTCAATGTCGAGAGGATCCCGCGATGAACGTATCCCTACGATAGAGCAGAAAGTTCTCCAGTGGACCTGCCTGTGCGAAACTGATCTCCCGTCGATGATGTTCCCCCGAACAGGGGACTGCCCAAAGATTGACTCGATAATGAGTTCCCTCGACAGACAGTCGTCCTGGGTAGCATCTGCAGACGCTTCGAAACGGTACGCTGAATGACCCTTAGCGAGCAGTCAGCGGGAAGGCTCCTCCAGCCAAGGCTCTGTAAGTTACTCCGGCGTTGGTGCCTGCCTCCCAAAGGCCCCATGGAAGACATGGCCTCCCGGTTCGGAATCGAAACTCGAGCCTTCCCGTCGCGGACGAGCATGTCGAAGGTGCCGTCTGTCAGGACTCAGGACCCGGCGGGGGCGGAACTTCAGAGGGTGATTGTGGTCACCAGCGCTGCGATTCGACTCTAGCCGTCCAGCCGGATGCCCGACACTTTGACTTTCCCTCGCTGAATTTGATTGAGCGTGTTGTTCACCCCGCCGGTCAGCCCCAGGAACCTGATTCTCATCTCTTATGCAGTCCCGAGACTATCACACGAGGCAGCCAGCTGGGCGGCCGGCCTTGGTTATTGCATATCCCATACAATACCATGCCCAATTCCTATATTCAACCGGGAAGGAGATCCAACGTCATCAAGTGCTCTCTTTTTTCCCGGACGCCACTTTTGTGCACTCCAACATCCACCCCAATCGAATCAAAGTCTCAGCTCCGAAGAGCGGAGAGGGGACTTTTGACCCCGGGAAGAGTTCTGACCCAAAAGTTCACTGTCGTCTCAACCTTCAGAGAGAGTTTTGGAACAAGCCGGTAGCGGCCATCAAGCCGGCATCGAGTTGTCCGAGTTGGAAGCGAAAGTCGACGTCGGTCGTGTGCTGAGATAGCAGTCAAAAACTTCATTTGCCATTTCAATCTTCCATAGTGCACCGGCTTCTCAAGAGCCTCTCGGGTATTCCCCGGAAAACGAAGCCTCGGAGCAATTCGCAAGGTAAATGTCGTGCTCCGATATTCGAGTCAGAGTTCTACCGGCTGCGCGGACATCACGCGAGCGTGAATTCGGCTCTTTCTAACGGTGATAATTATTTCAATAGACACGGTCAGATTCGATTCGGTTTGAGAGGTCGCTTGATTGCTCCCAGACGAGGATCGGACGGGAGCATGTCTGCAGATTCTATGAGTCGATGGATTGTTCGATACTGGACCGAGACCCCTACTCACTCTGATCGGATGTAGTTTGGAAGTGGGATCGAGAGAACGCAGAAGTCGCTCGGGTTTTGCAAGCGGGCTCCACTCCAAGAACAGAGAGTAGACGTGACACGTGATCCGTTGGAAGATCCCGTAGACGGGAGAATCTGGGCTCATTTCGCGTATCGTGTCTCGGGGAATCTCTTCTTCCGGGAAAGAAATCTTTCCCGTGCTGTGACAATGCTCGATTGTTTGAGCATCTTCTCATCAGGGAAAGTGAGCCGACTCAAAGATCCGTTTGGATAGGGACTAGACTGCTGAGTTCAAATTAGAGCCCCACTTCTAATTACCAACTACGTTCCGAGGGACTTTCCAAGCTTGGATCTCTCCCCTCGACCTCTCGATTCACGCCCCTAGCTCTAATCAGTAATTTGGAACTCGGCTTGAATACCCACCTCGCATGAAAGATGCCATCGTTATGGTCAATGGTCACGGATCCCTCAATCCGACGATGGAACTCTCGCACGGGAAGCTCACTTCTCGGCTGTAGGCCAGAGATTCCTCAGAGTCCCTGGCGTTGTAAACAAAGCGTGATGCTCATTACGGTCCCGAAAACGAAAAGATCTACGGATATACCGGTTGCGAGAATAAGATGAAAACTCTTGTCGGAGATAATCCGGTAGAACAGCTTGACAAAAAGCCTGCGACTACCAATCTGATGGGGATGACTGTCTCGCTCTAGGAGAGGCTTCGCTCGACTCTTCTCTACCGCTGTCGAGAAGAGAAGACGACTGCTTTCTTGTGGCCGCTCAGCTGACAAGGCCGAAAGCACGCTGATGATGTCAGCCACTGGCAGCGACCAGCTTTTTGTCCCAGCAGACAGATGTTTGTTGCAAGCCTTGTTGACAGCTGTTAGGATGCTTCCTCGTTCCGTGGCACTTCAGCGCTACTCGACGCTCCCTCGCCGAGGATCCTTTGAACAACGAGCCGACGAGCCTTTCGATTCGTTTCTCCGACGCTTAAATCCATGAGTAATACTTTCTGGCGCGTCACATCGTCCCGCCGCTGAAGCTCCGCGCAGTAGCGGAAACCCTCGCCGGTTGAACGATTCGCTCCCGTCCGGGTATCAGAGTTATCGCCTACTCCGCTGAGATTAGCAACCGCAGCTCCGGGGATGTTGATGATGGAGATTAATAATCTCATCCGATTCGAAGTTGAGGATCATCGCACTCTGATAAGCTCGACCGTTGCATCGAGACATTCCGCAGTCAATCTCTGGTGGACTGAATCGGGCTCGCTCCATGGAAGGTATCCATCGATCTCGAAGAAGCCTGAGCGGTGGCAAATTCCAAACGGCTGAGCGGCTGGTTATGCTATGGTGCTACAAACATGGCTGGTCCGGGTCTACGCGTATCCGTTCTCCGGGCAAGCCGCAGATTATTCGGATTTTCGAGGGTTCGGAATGACTCCACATGATCACCGATCACGCCCGATAGGAGCCGGCCCGGGGGAGGGAATGACCAAGAGTCGACCGCGGAAGATCGTCGGCTAAAGCGCTGAATCTTCGAGGGCTTAGAGCGGGGTTCTCCACCGCTAGACGAGGGCTTTAGTCTCTTCGTCAGGGTGACCGCCAAGAGAGGGGATGAGAGTCGAGCGGTAATCATCGGCGTATCCTCCCTCGAGTCTGAAAGGTTGGAGGACGCCTCCCGCAGGGAACCTTCTGCTGGCGGTCTGACATCCCGTAGTCATCGGAGGTTTCAATCACAGGGCACGCAGACATGTTGGCACTAGACAACTTCGCTCACAAAGCGCTGGTCTCATCCCTTACAATTCAGTGGTCTGTGGTCGTCGACGAATCGTATGTGTAATCGGAGATCCGAATAGCTTTGACTATCTGAATCTGAGCGGTGCGATGCAATGCATATGGTACCTATATTCCGGAGGATAATTCCTCGGCAGCATCCCCAGCTCAACGCTTCCTCGGTGATTTCGACGTGGCCTGAGAGATGGTGAAGATTAAGTTTCAGGCAGTGTGTCGACTTCTTGGTGAGAGCTTCGTCTCGATGCAGATAGGCATGAGACGCGGCTCATCTGATTTCCTGTTTTTCGACCCCTGTGAGGTAAACAAGATCGCATGACAATTGAATGTTGTCGAGCTTTCAGACTTGTCTAAAATCTTTCGAGCTGAGCCGGAAGATGTTTCCGGTGGAGACATGAAGCCATGTCTCCACCGGAAAGACTGAATCCCCCTATGGAATGAAGCAGTAATGTCGGTCCGTCACCGTACCGAAAATCGGAGTTATTATCGTGTGAAAGGACTTCAAGTTACTTCGTGGCGATGCAGAATCTTTCCTGCTAGCGTAAGAAGCAATCTTCCACTCGATCAATCGCATCGTTCCCGAGTTATTCCGGAAAACCAGCAGGTTTTTCTGCGGTGTTCCCTCCATGTGTCTCCTCTCCGTTAGCTCTCTTCATATGAGGCTTCGACCGTTCCGCCAAGGAGTGATTCGAAAGACGACGCAGCAGCCTACTAAGTGAACATGATCGGGATGATCAGAGGATCGAGAGCGTACTAATGAGTTGCACTCCCTCCAGCCTCAGAAGCTCATCTACTCCTGAAGCTCGCGAGTCAGCATCGCATGAGAGTCATGTTGTCATTCATGGTATCCCGACCGCCCGAGTCTGCGAAAATATGAGGACCGCTCGCTTTATATCACCCGATGAGCCGATAGCTCCGAGATCGAACGCAGAGCTCTCAAGAATATCTCCGAATGATAAAATAACTGCCCCGGCGACAATCGCACGGTTCGAATGACGGCGCAGCAGCCTACCGAGAGAGCTTTCCTAAACCCTAACGAGGCTCGAATCGCTTCAGGACCATGATCGGGGTGATCAGAGGATCGAGGGTTCCAATAGATTTCATTCCTGCCTGCCTCAAGAGCTCATCGTCTTCCAGAGCTTGCGTGTCAGCATCGCATGAGTTTCATGTTCCTTCGCATTCCATCATATTCTTTCGCATTCCATCATGTTACTCCGAGCGCCCGACTTTGTGAAGTTATGAGGGCAGCTCCGTCCGCGTTTCCATACGAAACGAGAGCTACGAAATCGAACGTTCTGCTCTCCAGAATTATTCCCCAAGGAGGTTATGTCGTCCATAATTTTGTAGTGTATCCGATAGATGATCCTCATATATTTCACCTGTTTTCATTCTTCCTGCTCCATAGCAGCGATGGGAGAGTCCGACTCTGCGTCCATGTATCTTCTCCAAGTCCGATCGAAGTTCCTTCGCTTCCGTTGCAAACGACTTCGACAAAAAGAACGTTGAGCTAACGTCTTTCCGCGAGGAAATCCCTGTGTAGTTTCCCACTGTGTCTGAATCTCAGCCCTATGTTTGGCACCGATTGGAGTAATATTCTCACATCGAGATGAGCTCCAATGTCCTCTCTTCATTCACCCTAGAACACAGTCATCTGCACTCGGGACGCAGAGGACGAGTTGAGATCGGAATAAAGAGGGAAGCTGGAGGGTGATCGAAACGAACTCACTCGAGGGAAAGCCAATGGGTCCCGAGCGCCGCAGCGAAACCGAGAGGAGGGGGTTTCGGTATTGATGTCTCGGAACTCCTCCAAAACTCATGATGGTGGAACGGAGATAGCTCCCGTTGGTCAGGATCTGTATCTTCAGGTTTCATGTGTCTCGCAGCTCACGAATATGAATTCACTGTGCACCGCCAGCTCTAACTTGACATGGCCCAGAAGTGGATGCTATATCTGTGTGGTATCTGCACCGAATACTCTCACGATTCCTCCTTGGCACCAAGGAAGCCTTCAGAATATACCTTAATGCGGGAATTGCTTAATCTCGAACATTCTTTATTTATCATACCACAATGACCACGTGCCACGTCCCGTTCCCCGTCGTCCGGAGGGGGGACTCACAAGGGAGGTCCCGAACATCATGAGCGCCGATCGACTGGAGACCTATGGCAAAAGAATCGCCTACCGGAGTGTAGTACAAGCCTAGAATATTATCCGCGTATGGGCAGTTTGGAGGTCTTTATGGACCTAACCAAAATCGGCCCTTAAACCATGGAGCTCATCGGTGGATCTACAACCCTCCGTTCCCCGAACATAGGTTTATGAAGAATCAGCATAACACCAGAAGATGAAGAGCAGACTCGATGCGGCTATGGGGCTGGCAGTCAGGCGGTGCTACGTATACATGAGTTCTGAGCCTGGTGTAGGAATTCGTTCTTTCAAGCATGGCGTGGATGTTTGCCAAGCCGCTCATTTTCGGGACGGGAGCACAGTTTGAGAAGACTTGCCCACGAGAACTGTCAGCGGAGCACCCGGCATCCGGCGTCCGGAACCTTCAGAGATTCGAGTCCGTAAACCGCATACGCTCTGATACTCCAACACCCGGACACTAATCCGTTCAGATAGCAGAGCAGATGAAGCGCCTCGTACTTCTGGTGCAAAGCGAAGGTTTGAACTCGAACACTACCCCTCGTGTGTCGACGTCGCGTCGCCCGGGTCATGGGGGCATTCTGGGAGCATTTCTTAGAGGCATCCCGGAATCCCTTGGTCATGTGGATGAAGGTCTTCCAGGGCCATTCTCATGGAGAGACTGCTTCGCGAAGCCATCCCGCTGGATCGAATCCCGAGACTGGCCCGTTGACACAGCAGATCATCCTTGGTATAGACTATAGACCGCTCCGCGAAGATGCTCCAATTATGAAAGTTCTTCGAGGAAATCGTCTCCCTCTTCTATATCGAGTAGGCATGACGAAACTTCTGCAGTCTCATCAATCGATCCATGGCTCCAAACGACTCCTTGCCACGCTGGCAGAGTACTTGGTGATCTAGATTTCATGGCCCACCGTGATGGCGCACCCGCCCGCTCGAGTCAATTGTGCGAGATCGATTCGCGGACCGGCCACGATACAAGTTCGTTGAACTCGCATCGACCTCAGTCAACGCTCAGCTGTGGGGTGTCCGCCAGAGACCTGGCGTTGACTGTTAGGGCTCATTCTCCCCGAGTTGGTGAGACAAGATCTCTGAGTTTCGGAGACTCAGGGCCCCGTGGGACCTCATCATGCTGCTCGCAATCATTCGCTGAAATAGGACACGCGCCACGTTTCGAACGAAAAACATCAAGAAGGATTTCAATGCACAGGATTTATTTATCTTGGAAAGACAGTATAGAATCAATAAAGGTCAGCCCAGACGCTCCTGGAGAAATCATTAAAATGATTGAGGGGAGCCCGCGCTTGGAGTGGGCTCGAATTTTGATCCGACGCGGCGGTCTGCCGATCTCTCGGGAGCTTGCAGATCGACGCGACGATAACGAGCAAGCTCCTTTCGCACCTCTTCCGGTCCGCACGTTGCTCAGGTGGTCTTTCCGACAAATATCAATAACGAGGCTTGCTTGACACCGTAAGGATCAATGACGAGTAACTCTGCGCGCAGAAGATTTCTGAGGATCTTCCCTCCACTATCCACGGTCGAGAGGAATCGACCCGAATGGTAGGGGTCCTTGATTCTCGGAAAAAAAATTCCATCATTGCCCAATCGGATGCTTGTCTTCTCTGGCTGCTTTCCTTGGAGCGAAGGAGCGACGTGGACACGACGCTCTGCGGAGCGATTCACGGGACTTTTGTGGTATCGAGAAGAGCTTTCGATAGTCAGGATCAGGGGAGATAGTTGATGTGGATATGATTCTCACTTCAAGCCAGAAAGATGCTTCCATTACCGTCCGAGATTCATAGGCACCCGTATCCACGCATATTTCTGTGATTCCCGGCTCGGTGACCCGGTCTAGACACTTGTGTACAATAGGATACAGGAACAATAATAATGATAATAATCATTCATTTGTCAATTACCAGTCATCAGAAATCCTTTGGGGGGGGAGGGCGAAGGTGTCCGTGACGAATAGAATATCGTAATCTCTAAACTTGCTCCGTCTGTCCAATAGTCCTCGTGTGAAAAGCGGCACGCACTGAGCCTTGTTTGGACGAAATCAATGGGGACGCCATGTGCGTTTCTTCCACAGCTCCTCTGACTGAATGGCTCCACCGCTGAATCGGACCCTTACCTCGGAGGTGTAAAGGATGATAATCATAGGAATGCAACAGTGTCGTGAGTACAATTATATCATGACTCTCACGTCCAGGACCCTCCGGAACAATTCAAGTTGCTTAGGAAACGCCGCGATCCTCCGGGGTATCATTGTGATCGCGCGTTTTGTATCCTGCCACTTCGTCACCCCGAGAACGACCGCCTCGCGACGCATTCCCCAGGCCCGGGGTTCTAGCCCAGTGCCGGTATCGGAATCAATGATGTTCACCTGCTTGCACAAATGAGAACGGAGCTCGCTTGCGCCGCATCATCAATAGCAATAGCCGTCCGCCTGCCGGGCCGCAATCATTCCTGACAACATCCTAAAAACGTGGAGTTCCGACTTCGCTCGAGAGACAAGGATGGAATTTCCTCGATCCCCTTCCAATTTCAGAGTGCAGCGCTACCAGAGTAGGCTGCCCCTCATGCGCGGATTCTTTGATGACCATTCCACCAATTCGGGAGGTATGCGTCCGGCCGGCTCACCATAAAGAGCATTTATGCACCGGGTTCATCCGGCTGCCGAGCGGACAGTTGTAAGCGTTCGCGAAATCTCGCGAGTTGGCGAGTGTTCCGAGGACCCTGGAAAGAAACTTCACGAATTAGGGTCGGAAACTGGCGCATCGTGATAGAGAGCTTAATCTCCTCACAATCAGCTGGGGATGATCTGGGCTCTCACCAGGATGCCATTGAAACAGGGGAGAGGGAGGCCTAGATCGTCGAGAAAATCTATCCTCTCCGCTCTTTCTACAAGGAATCTGTGCTGTTCGACGTCCTTCGTTCGTTCCGGAGTCGTTTGTCGGCGCTCCGTGGAGAGTCCCCGATAGGATTGAAAACGGTATCGTGTCTTTCCCGTTCGAGATAGATCAGGAGGGACTCTCCCTCCGTCCTCCCTCATGTAGCTCACGTGCAGGTCTAATTTATGTAGTCAAGATTCATAATAAGCGCCGATCTTTCCATGGGCGGAACAAAGTTCTCTCGTTACGCCATGCGACAACGAGGAGCGTCTTTCGGATCTGGCGAGCTATGGAGATGGCGAGACGGCCTCAGATAAGGATATCCTTCTGCAGCAGTGCTGTGCCTGAGGAGTAATATCGCGTAGGTTCCATCGTCGGTGGATATCTGAAGGGAGCGGCGATGAATGTAGAACGGCCAAGCCCAATTGAATCTGTCGAGGGGATTTTTTCTCCGACGTTTTGTCTCCGACTCTCGATGAAAATTCTCATCGGCTCTCCCCTCGCTCGCTCGAGACTTGACCCACTAGAAACCTTCATATAGCCGGAGGCTTCCCTGTCTATCCATCGGAAACTCATTTCGATACGGCAGAGGCTCCAAGGTCTGATGGAGCCGATAGTGGAAGCGGGAGACCTCGCGTGATGAAGCCGGTTCGGGAAGCGTCGGTTCCCGCTTGTTGCGGAATGGGCTCCCGCTCCGAGCGACAGGGACCAACGCGTCCCGTGATTGTACTGCTTTTCGCACATCGCAGTATGCGTAGCTCTAATGTTTCTACGCGCGAGCGACGTTTCGCAAGCTTCCGAAATGGATGCGCACGGAGGAGTTGAAGCTGAGCCAGGAAGATACGGCAGCTCTTGAACACTCCGTCAACCCGTATCATTAACTTTTTCCTGGGGCGCGTCTACTCTCTTGAAGGCTGCCGCCGCATATTCGGTCTGACTGTCAGTCGCCGGCCGGAGAAACGGCGCCGGATCAGAAATCGGAAGTCGAAGCCGAGAGAAGCCTCTGAATGCTTCGAAATTCAGAGAGTGCTTTCCCGAGGAAAGTGGGTTGGGTCGAGAAAGATGACGTCTGTCGGTGACCTCAAGAAGACCCACCTGATCGGTCCGGGTGAATGCAAAGCATTCCGTAGTTTGGCCTCTGTTTCTTGTCTGTTCATGGAACCGCACCAGATTTGAGCAAAATTCAGGAAGAAAATCTGATCGTGAGTCATGTTCAAGACAGGCAGATAGGGCTCGACGCCGTGCTGTCGCTCCCATCGCTTGAAAGCCTGGAACGAAAGAGACGTTAAGGTAAATACGGCGAGATCTAAGTTTTCTCATAATTTTCGGAGTCAGATCTCGAGCCGCGAATTCTCTCGACCGCGTTCACGGGTTCGCGAGGCCCCAGAAAAAATCGTTCCCCGCTACACGGAGCGATCGGACATTATATAAGAGATCCCACCGATCAGTACACTTGACGATCTATTTTCAATTATGTGCGCTTATTCCAGTCGCGAGCATGCGGGATTCGGAAGGAACATCGTTTTGCTGACGTAACAGCGACGGGACCCTCTATCCGGCTTATGCTGAGCCCGTGCTTGATTGAAAATTGCGATGCTTATATATTGCGTTTATACAGATGTAGTACTCGAATGCAGATGATTCGCCGCATAATTCACGGCGTAGTCGTACAACACGTTTTTGAATTAAGTAGGCGATAGGAGCACCACACCAGGCGCGGTATATCGATCACGTGACATTCGGCGGCTCCGCATATTGAACGCAAGGCCCGGCAGCTCCGACGGACATCCAACAGCACGAGTACATGTGTTGAGCTTTCATGAGACTCCGACCATGAGGAAAGGCGTCCAACTAGAGTTTGTCCGGGGATTTGCTGTCGGGCTGTTGCAGGTCGACCTTCTGCCTCAGTCGTATTTTACGAAGGGAAAACCGTCGGACGAGGCCAGGTGGCCCCCAGTGCTCCACCCTGGACGTCGTTTCCCGCCGCGTCCTTCTCCGCTCCAAGGGCGGACAGGAGCGGATTTAGAATAAGCTTGCGTCCCCCTTCTTTTCCAGCCCCGCCGGCTTTCTAACTAAGAGCCTGTCCGAGAGTGTCATAAGGGGCAGATACGGGCGAGCTAACGATGAGATTATGATCAGCTATTGAACTCTTGTCGAACACCACGATACAGCGAACATGCAGCCGTGGCCCGCCTCGAGTTGCTGCGTAGCCGCCAGCCATACTAAGCATCACGTGCGTGTACGCGGTCGCAACCCTCGAGATCGGTCGACCCGTATTCTCGGTGAAGAACGGACGCACCTGCCTCCGGGTCGCTAAACGTGACTTACTGACCCAATGCCGTCGCTCCAGAGGACGCTCTGGCCTAAGTGTGATTTATATGGTTGACGGAAATTTCCATAAAATCGAAGCTTATAGCGTCAACACACGGGAGGGTCCGACACCTCGAGTGAGCGGTCTCCACATCGGATGCAAGCTCCTCTCTCCTCCCTGGGAAGTTTCGCGACGACTTGGCGTTGAGCTCGCTGTTTCGGAATCTGTCCAATTATCTCCTCTATACGTAGTATCAAAAGCGAGTAATCTTTGTCCGAGGGATCTAGATCTCCGAATAGTCTAGAAGGGTCGATGATGACGACCCGCTTCTTGCCATTCCTCCGGACCACCCGACCCTCTCTCGCAACGGCCAAATGATGAGAATCTCCCGGTCGCTCACGAGACAATCCACGTCAAGGATCTGCCCAATATTGAGGGAGACGGGTAGCGGGTAGAGAACCTTCCCCGGAGCTCAAGGGTGAGGGATTTCAAGGTCACTTCTCGAGCACTTAACACGAACTAGCGAGCCGTCTAAAGTATTGTCATTGGACCGGCCATCGATGTCCACGAACCTCAAGGAGGAGATGCGCCGACTGCAGACGAAGCGATTCGGCTCGGGGTTGACGGCGATGTTTGGTCCCGAAATCTTCTCATATCGACCCGGGGGGATTCCCGTCACATATTGGACGACCGTCTGGCGAGGGTCTGCGGAATACACTCGCGAGACCTCCTTCCGGAACCACTCGCCGATTCGACTTTACGAGCTCGTTCGTTGATCGTTCTCATTCTCGATCCGTCCTGATCCCCTCTCGGACTCGTTCAATCGCCCACGTGCAAACATCGGGATCGAGTTTCCGCCCGAGAATCGAGAATGTGGCAAATCAAGTTCTTTGATCGATGTCTCTTTTCGGTCGTCGATCGATCAGAAGGCTATCGTCTGACTCAGCTCATGATTCTACCCGACGCCTCGACGTCTCCTGCCGGATACGATGACCGCTGACCAGCGTGAATGGAGCTCGGCAAAACTCAGCACGGATACCGCTCGGATGACACACTCATGCGAGCGGCTAGCGCCTCCCATTACGGGCGGGCAATCGTAGGTCCACGGTGAGGAGAGACCAAGATATAATAACTTTTTTGCTGACTCGGGGAAGCTCGCTCCCCCCCCCCTCCTCCTCTGATCCTCTCCTGGAAAACTTCTGTTGGGGAATAGAGCAGCGCCGTGCCGCTTTCTACGCCGTACAGGGCTCGAATATTCTTCCTCCGCGTGTGCTCTCCATTCTTGGGGCCGCAAAAGCAATCGTTCGAGCACGACGAAATTCCGGTCTGACTGGCGCATCATCATCCACTCATTAGGAAGATAGGATAGATGAAGTAGAGGATCCGTTCCCGACGAAAGAAGAAAGGTCAGGAAGGCGAAGCGTGATGAGGACCATTCTCCAGATGGGCGAACAAAGTTTGCTTGGTCCAGGCTCAGGGCGTTTGGGCCCGGGAGGAATTCCGCCTACGGGCTCATTCGTTCTCATCGCTCAGACGGAACTTCTCTACAACTTCAACCCGAAGATACATACGGATATTCACCGCGACTTCACCGAGTCATGACAAGCAATCCAGCTGTATGCTGCGTCGATGCTCGCTCTCAGGAGAACTAAGCAAGTTTCCCTTTCTCGTCGGCTCTCAGATCGAGGAGAGCGGAATTCGAACGGCAGAGTACAACAAAAAGTATTCGATGCCGATCTGTCCTGGAGTTCTCTGAAAGAACGGGGACGGCGAGAACACGGTGGTACGCTCGAGGCGAGCGCCGGGATTTCCGCAAACTCAGAAAAAATGACTTCCCAAAATATTTACTCTCGACGAAGCACAACCTCCCTGCTGGTCGGAGCTTTCCGTGCGAGAAACGTGAGCGTATTGGAAAACTAGCTACGGTACGGCGAGAGAGCTGCCCGCTGTCGAATCGACTCCCTTTTCCGCTCGGTCATCCCGAGACCGCAATCAGCACTTCCTGGAAGCGGGCCGTCACTCTCAAGCGCGTTTCGGGTCTACGCCGAACCTTCCTCGGAATTTCTCTATTCCCAGATCGTAAATTCTTCTGTCTACTCCCGAGTCTGTCGGTGTATTTCGCGCCAAGCCTCTGGTGTGAAACGTCCATTAGTTCCATCCATCGCTCTCACTTTCTCCGACGCCGGCCTCGGCCGTGCTGAATTGGATCGCCTATTCCTATGGCTTGCGACTTTAATTTCCGTTGCCTTGCTCTGTTTGTCCCGACCGCGCGGAGTGTTCTCGTCTCCGGTCCCTCGATCGACGAGTCTCGGATTGCATTCGCGGCGCGACTTCCTCGTTCGAAACCTTTTCTCCCCCCTCCCCCGACCCTAGGCCACCGTCTCTGCCAGAGTACACCACCAGAAAATCCAGCGAAACCTGGCCATTAGGTCACCTCGCGAGGCGACCGTCGGCGGCCGGTTGCCGCAAAAAACTTCATCAGTCATTCTGGCCTGCCTCTCCTCGGCCATGGGTCGTCAAGGACACGATCCCGGAGGTTCTGAAAAAACCTGCCTCTACGCGTCGCTCAGCCTCAGGAGTTTCGAAAGTTCTGCAGGCGTCTCGGAAATCACCCTGTAGTGTCTGTGGGGCGTACGCGTCCGCGCCCAAACCCGGGGGCTTCCGGATGACGACTCCGGGGACTGAGGATCTAAAGCATTGTACCCCTCGTACCCGACCCAGCCGGGTTTCCGGGCTTCCTCTGCCTAGGAATTTCGCGGGTCGATCGAAGAATCGATGGCCTGTTCCACATAAGACGTCACGCAATCAAGACTGCTTCCGGGTGTCATTTTCTCTCCGGAATGTCACATCCCTGCCGGACGTAGGACTTCGGACTTATTTGCGGCTCTCGGTCGGTTCGAGCCGTCCGCAGCGGTATCTGATCGCGGCCTTATGTATTTACCTCCGCTTCCTCATCTATGGCGCTTCAGCTACTCATTGAGTCTCGTTCGCCGTCGCCCTATCGGGGTCGTCAGACATAGATTGAATCGGAGAATGCCAGATAGGTTGCCTCAACTAGAAACTGCCCCTCTACCCGAAATCGATACCAGCTTGTCCGTGGGGAGACGCCTCGGGCGAGATATACAAATTAGGAGGGAAAGCGATCGAGAACAGCGCCGACCCTGCCCCGGGCCAACGTCCGGTATCGGAAGGCAGTCGGGCATCAGATGTTTTCCTTCCGGGCAAACGAAAGGGGGAGCCCGCGTCCGAGGACGAGGGGAAAGTTCCGTACCGTCTTCAACATTCCGGGATTTCTTCGAAATTTCTCCCGACCGGGACGCGAATCAAGAAACGGGTTGTCGAGGACGGGAGACTTCGGAGTGTTTTCCCATCAAATTGAATTTCCCGGTCGGAGTATAATAGCTGTAGACTGCCTGGACTGTGACTCTAATTCCGATTCGACAGTCTACTCGAGCGCATTAGCGGACGAAAAATCGATTCGCAGAGGGATCCAAATCAGCGTCCGCTTTCCTTTCAGTCTCATTTTCCCTTTCAACTCTTCCTGCCGAAAGCGTTCGTGTCCAACGCTCGTTCGAGAGAGGCGAGAGCCGGCCGGTCTAGTCCGAGTGGAAGTTCCACTCGAGTCTGCTTTGGTTCAGCAAAACCCGACGCAAAAGCTAACGAGCGGAGGAGACTCGAATCAACGTAAATCTACGTCTCAATGACTTCTTCGGAGCTTCGGTCTCGTACCGCGGGCATTCAGAAACGAGGATGTTGGCTCTAGCCTTCACGGCTTTCAATTAAGACGGGGAGTGCTGCGCCTGGTATCTGTAGGAGAGAATCAAATGTCAGCCTCTTTTTCATCAAGTTTCTGTCGTTTTCATGCATTGCGCGTTTCCTGCCGCGGACTGCGGCGCGTCTTAGCGTGTCCCGAGTCCCGAGAACTGACGATGGGAGGAGGCGAATAGTCGCGGTCGA